ATACTATTCTATATATACACCAGTTGTCGGATCCTATATGACATATTTACTATATGGAGAGTCAAATAATCCTTTGAATGTGATATCTCTGACAATTGTCAAAATATTTCATATTATAAAAAAACTTGTGATTCATAGTAATTCAATGTTTTAAATATGTAAATTTAAGCCCCCAAGGCCTAGCTCAAGTGGCAAAAGGTGGAGGATTTGTGGCTTAGGTCACAGGTTCAAGCCCCACACCATGCAAAGCGAAGCCCGGTATTTAAGTGGAGAAGGGTAGAGGGGCGGGACCATTATCCACCGAGTTTAGAAGGTTGTGATTGGTCCAAAGGGCGGGTCAAAAGGGCGGATTTCTCGGTTATCAAAAAATATGTAAATTTAATTTTAACAATAATCGTTGTCGGACAGCTTCCCCAACATAAAGGGGAGTTCTTTTTAAGTGGGTTGCTTTGTGCTCACAACAAAACTGAGAGACTTCGCCTTCATGTTCCAAAACCCATCCTCCTTTCTTTTTGAAATAAAGAATTCTTCAAAGTTGATTGTCTTAGCATATTTTGACCTATTTTTAACTTTTCAAACTTCTCTAGACACGTTACCAAACTTGAGTTAATAATGTGTCACATACTTGACCCTAATATAATATAAGTTAACCAATAGAATACAAGACAAGGTTCCATAGTGCATGCTATTTGCAGATGATTTTGTGTTAACTGAAGAAACGAGTGAGGAAGTCAATGAAAGTTAGAATTACTGAAAAGCACTCAAGACTACGGTTCTCATGATAAGTAGAAGGTAAACGAGACATACTCAACAGAGGATGCAAATGGCAACAGGAAGGATAAAATAAGTGAATGTCATCTGAGATGATTCCACCGTGTCTTAAGTGCGCCTTAAATATGTGCAACAGTGTGATTATTGGAAGTGATAAAAGGAAAGAATATAGACCTATATCCTCTCAAATTAACGTGGATATAGCAAAAGAACATAATGCAATGCATCGGGCGCTATTCAAGCATTGGGATTAAGACAATTTATTTTTTTGCAAAGGAACTCTAGTTGGGACTAAGACTCAGTTGGTGTTACTTTTGTATCGGGTAAAATATCTGTCAAAGTTCATTCAATTCATTTTAGATATGAATACTTGTGTTGGGGTGTGTGAGATTAAAAGAACCTGTACTTGATTGATTTAGCTTTTTAATTGTCTTTTTTTTATGACCGTGGTGTCCAGGCCAGTTTTTGCGTACCTCGATTAATTCCACGGGATACCTGCCACCTCCCACCAACAACAGATACCAGAGTTCAGGTAACTTTGTCCACCTGGTGCCTGTAGCCTTTAGTTGATAGACTTCCCTTTTATTTAAGCAAACACGAACTAGTTGGAATTGTGACTTAATTGTAGCTACACTTGAACAAGGTTTGATGTTTTCCAGAAGTTCTTTATATTTTTGTTAAGACTTGTATTTTTGTGAAGGGATTTGGAAAGCCTATAAATTTGATTAATTTTGTTTCTGTTCTCCCAACAAATCAAAAGGATCAACCACGAGACATTCATTTGTTTATTTCTCTTACATAGAGTACTAATGATTAATCTCTAATTATTACGTATGATTGAAAAAAGCGCATACTAATAGAAAGTGAATCTTCCATCCTAGAAAGCTGAATTTTGATCTCCCTGCTCTTTCACGTCATAACCAGACAAAGAGAAAACATGATAACCTAATTTTACTTCTTGCGTTCAATTCCCCCGCCCTCTTATTTGCCCAAGAGGGCACAGACAAGTTGAAGTGCTAGATACTTGTTTTCCATAATCCATGGTAAAAAACATGAGAGATGTGGTACAATATATTTACAGGGTAAGAGTGTACCTCTGCCAGCTGTTTATCAGTCATTTCAACACCTTCCAGAAGTGTCTTCAGAAGTGGCACGGCACCAGTTGTGTCTTTAGATACATCAATTTTGGAAAAGCTCTCTTTTACAACGGAAGAAGCCCTGCCCAGATTATCAGAAACATCTAGAAGGGCTTTCACAAAATTCTGCAGCATTATTAGTATAAAAGATGAGAGAAATAGATGGGCAATTTAGACTACCGAAAATTAATCTTGCTTATGTAGCATAGCCTGCGCTTACAAATACTAACCTGAATGGCAAACTTCTTAGTATTTTCTGCTTCTCGTCTAGTTCTCTCCATGACATTCTCCATCTCTGCATAAGTTCGAAGAACCTTATCCTGCATTTTCTGAAACTCCTCATGTTTCATCTTTAGGAGTTCTTCCTTCTCAATCACACATTTCACCAGGTCATCCCTGGAAAGGTCCTCCAAATCCAAATCTGAATCAGAACAAGAAAAAACATGCTGTTTAGTACATCTTCTGCTTATGGCATTTTCAGTCATGTTAAACTGGAAAGCATATCGCAACCTGATTCTTTCTTCTCATCCTGAACGTTAGAATCAGCAGAAGCTGAAGCTTTCTCTGCTCCGCTTCCTCCTCCACCTTGGGACTGAGATGTTTCTTTTTCATCAGGTTGGGGGGACGCAGATGATGAGATTCCAAACCGTTGCAAGGCGGATTCAGGTACTAGAGACACCTAACCCATAAACACAGTCAGCAGAATCAGCAATGAAGCTCGAGAATGTATATCAAACCACTGCCCATGCATCGTTTTACAAGACGAGCATATTATCATTGTTTTTCACAAACTTGGCTACTTACAATGAAATGAAGCAATTAGGAATCTTTTTTGTTTTTTCAAAATTACGAATCATTTTACCCTGCATATAAGTCTTGCCCTGCAGTTTCAGTTCATTCGAGAGCCAAAAATATACAATTACATACTGCAGATTAGACAAGGCAAAACGGTTATATCTACACTGTTTGAATTCCAAACAAATCTCAACTCCTTTCCTACTTCTACTAAACTAAATGTGAAACTTCCCGGTGTTGCTAATGAATCAAACCTTCCCAAGATTAAAATTTTGGGAGCAAGCCATTAAAAAGTACAGACTATACAAGATAAAACTGAAGTTAAAAATAACATCAAATTATGGTCCAAACAGAAGCCTGCTGTACACGAAAATTAAGCTAAGGCAAAATGGTTATCTACACTTTTTGGAGTCCTACAAGTTTTAACTTATCTCCTCCTTCTACTAAACTATATCTGAGGGTTCCAAATGTTGCTAATGACTCAAACACAGCAAATCCAAAATCTTCCCAAGATCAAATTTTGGCAACAACCCATTTAAAAGTAGAGACTTCAATATATAAAACTGAAGTTAAAAGTAACATCAAGTTCTGGGTCCAAACAGAATCCTATTGCACAGCTAAATTACAATTTCTTCTTAAACCCCAGCAAAACCCTAATCCACAAAAAAAGGGGAAGAACTGAAAAGAGTATTGGGGAAGCACAAAGATTGAACCTTTTCTCTTATATTGCGAATTGAATGAAACTGAGATGAAAGTATGGGCACATGGTGCTGTTGATTCTGTCGATAATAAAGGAGCAGCGAGTTGCGGCACTGTGTCAACACATTCCTTGAGAACCGAGATGAGATTCTACTCAACACCATAGCTGAATTTAGGGTTTTTGCTATGAAAATTGCAGTGAGATTGTAAATTTTAGGGATGGCGGTGGAACAATGAAACAGAGAAGGGTTTTAGGAGAGAGAGAGAGACAAGTGGAAAAGAAAAAAGGAAATTTTATTTGGAACACAAAACAAAAATAGTCTTGAATTAAATTTTGCAGCCAAACAAATAATAAAAATCAAATGTAACCCCAAAGTTGTAGAACCTTATAGATTATTACTACAGTAAGTTATAATCAATGATCACAAAATAATATTGGATCTCTTTTTTGGACATAATTACTCGTAACAACAATAAATTTAGTGTAATTTTATAATGGAAATATGGGAAGAAGGTGGTGTGTCTTAAGGTGGATTTATGACAGATCATGTATACGTAGTCTTATTTTTATCTTAAAATAGTAGATAGATTGCTTCCGATAGTCCTGATCTTGAGTAAAGCATATCAAATGACAAGTATGTTAAGTAAAAATAAAGAGAACAATCACAACAACAAATAATATACTAATTACTTAAGCAAAGAAAAACAATAGGTATTACTAAATTCGAAGAATAAGAGAGAGTAGGAAACTGATACTAATAAAACTTAAAAGGAAAACACGCTCGATTACGTAGCCTTCTAGTGTAATCCTTGAACACCATATTTTTTAATCTAGGGTCATGTCCTCGATAAGTTGTCAAAGCATCATGGCCTATTTAATCAACTCGCTCCAGTACTTTATCGAACTACGTCTACCTCTCTCATATTCACTTAAGTCAACTTCTTGCACCTCTTCATTTTCTCCTAACATGCTTGATCATCTCAGTCTTGCCTTCCTTATCTTGTCTACCATGAAAGTTACTCCCACATTGTATCGAATACCTTCATTTTTTATCATATCTCTTTTAATATGTCAACATCCTTATTTCTACTCCCTACATCTACTAGACAGGTGAGTTCTTGAGCGAAAAACACTCATTTTAATACGATATAGCTATTCTGACGAACACTTTATATAACTTGTCTTTGAGGCATGGTAACATTCTTATCACACAAGACATCAAGTACAAACTTTCATTCCATCCACCCTGCCTCAATACAATGTGTAACATCATTACAAATGAATCATGACATTCACGTTGAAATTATATAATTTCACATTGAGCAAGTACTAGAAATAGATATACTTTCTTAAAACTATTAAATCTAATATTTGGAGATTGTTTCAAATAAAATGGAGGTCTAAACACAAATTCAACTCTAAATGCTATTTTTTCAAACTTCAACCAAATAATGTCCAAATGTCTAACTAAAAATGAAACAAGTTGTATAATGTAACTTCATGGTAAACTCTAACAACATGAAGCACCAGTGGTCTAGTGGTAGAATAGTACCCTGCCACGGTACAGACCCGGGTTCGATTCCCGGCTGGTGCACTTTGAGCTGTGAAGAAATTTGCATTATGCGGTGATTAGGGTCTCCGCAATTGTCTGATTAGATGATTAAATAGCGCATCTGAGCTCTTAATTTTTAATTTTTTCTTACTTATATTTTTGTGTCATTCTAGTTCATATATGTTTGTATTCCAAGGATAATTTAATTTTCACTTTGGGTGACAACTACATAGTTCACGTGTATACCTCTACGAATCACATAATCATAATCAATTAGTTCGATTAGATAAAAACACTAGGTGCAAGCAAGCATTTGTCAAATGTTTATTTGTACTCACTTCTTCTCTAGGGAAATTTTGTTAAAGGAAAAATTGCAACAACAACAAACTCGTGTAATTTCACAAATGGAGTCCAAGAAGGTAAGATGTATGCGGACCTTATTCCTACCTTTGTAAGGTACATAGGTTGTCTTTGATTGACCCACAACTCAAAAGGTAAGTATCCGACACAAAAAAGTAGAAGTTAGTACTTTGAAGCTCTACTATGTGAAGTGCATATACTTCTATACAACAACATAACCAGTGCAATCCCACAAGTGGGGTCTAAAGGTGATGGAGTGAACTCAGACCTTACTCCTATCTCGTGAAAGTAGAGAAGTACAGTATTTATAATTTAGAAAAAGAACATCCACTACAGTCAAGGGTAGCATCTTCCAAATACGAAAGTAAAATATGGCAAAACGCAAAACTCTAGAGCTTCTGCTTGTAGAACTTTGACTAGTAACTAGTAAGACAAGTCATTTCACCAGGATACATAATCAGCCTAACTCTTCATAAAATCTGTGGAGTCTATATAGTGTTCGAAGATTAAGCACTTGGATTAAACACTACAATAAACTCAATCATCTTGGTTGCTTGGGGAAGTGCAACTTGATCAGCGTTGGTAGTTCAGTCAGCTCAACCTGGGGCTTACCCAACAAGACACTCTTCAACTTTTCATCGCAATTAACCAAGTTCTTGTTGTTCGGATCCTAAAAGCAGAACATCACAGAGAAGTCATGATAAAGCTAAAATCATTGCAGTTCTGTCAAAAACCGATCGAGTGTAATATTTGAAGAAACATAACAACTAGAGAAAATATCTATAACAGCTTCTCACAGCCTAGTTAAAATGTGTATAAATCATATGAGAACACGAGAAGGATTGAGTGAACTAAATGAAGGGAGAAATCAACAATTATTTCCTCTGTGCATAGGGAAACAAATTGCTTCATAAAAGGAATAATTTAACGGATGTGAGAAATAGAAATAAACCATGCCGAGCAGTGATCCAACGGTTCACCTATACATGTTGGAGTTACATCCACAGTTACAGACGCAGTGAAACATATATACCCATTAGTCTTATGTTGTTTGCTTAGCTATAAAGTTTAAGCAGCCTCCTGGTTCTATGCTAGACTTAAGTGCTGTATATCCATGTCCTCACTCTATATTTTAAAAAAAATCAGAACATCGTTTACAAGAAAACCATGCCAGAGGTTAAAGAAGCAGATTCTTTACAATTAGAATATCATTTACTAATTAATATCACTAATGCGAAAAGCTACTTGTTCTAACTCCTAAGTTTTATGGAACCATTCCATTTTAAGACGTCCAAAAAGGCATCATTCCGTTTAACTTTCAGAACAAAAGAATTCAAATTCATTACACTAAAACTTTAAACTTTGATCTCAATGATTTCTCTATCAAACCAACTTCTCAACAATTACTTTATTACTTTCTTCCTTTTTTAATAATGTAATATATAATTCAAATAACATCTTAAACTTCCAAATAAGTCAAATACTTGCAATATAAAATGGGATGGAAGATCCATCAACCATGATAAACCCCTTTCAAGTTTATCCTTGTTTACTCATTAATGTGGTTTAATAAAATGGGCTTAAAAGCACAGCTAAAGATATCCCAGATATGGAAGGGGTTGTCTTTGAAACGGAGTAAATACGGACATATGGTTCTGCGACCAGAAACCATAATAATACAGAGGCTAATATAGGTACCTGGAGATTGTTCTCTTTGATGTAAGACCAGACACGTTTAAAACAACCCAAGCGGGAGGTCTGTGACTGACCCATGAACTCTCTAAGTGTTGAAGGGAGATTTACAAGGTCAATCAAATTGGCTAACTTTTTTGGGTTGTCTGTCATAACCTTTTTCATCCGCTGTGGCAGCATTTTGTTAGCTTCTTGCTCCCCTGCAAGGAGAAAAAAATCTTCCCATTAGATTCTCGTCCCCGCTGGATATCAAAAGATTCTAGCTTTCCTCCAACACAATAAACTGAGCATAACCAGGCAGAGCAACAAGCCTGTCTACAGCTTAGGCACAACACAATAGCTCTGGTGTAGACCTGTATTTATTTTTAAAATCTAATTAAGTGGGCGTTTGGACGTAAAAATTGTGAAATTCATAAAAAAGTAGTATGTGTTTTTCAAGTTGAAATGGGTAGCATGAATACAAATTGGAATTGTTTTAGAATTTCTGTGAGTGATTCGAAGCGGGAATTGTGAAAATAACTTGTTTGGGTTTTTCAAATTCTGAAAAATTGTAACAATTCTATGTCAAAACAGTTATCCAGGATAAAATCCCGGACAAAAGTGAATAATCCCTAGCCAAACAGGCACTTAATATATATAAATAGGTTATCAAGAATCCATTAAGCTATATTTTCTAGAATCTAAAACCCATAAACTCAAAATCCTAACACCACAGGATCATTCATGCTCAGACCATGAAAAGGTGTCACTTTTCAGGTATATTGGAAAAAGCAAAATCAAATCTTTACTTAGAACTACTGTTGGAGAGCTTAAAAATGAAACGCACAAGCATAATTGAACACTACAATTTGTAAGAGGCATTTCATCAAACACATAGAGTTCAACAAAAAAAAAAACTCTCTACTGAAAAACCGCAAAGTAGGAAAATTGGGACAAAGTCAGTGTTGCAGTAATAGAAGAACCATAACAAGGAGAAAGAGGGCACAGGCCTCGCACTCGTCAGCAATGGAATTTGGGAGCAACAATTTGGTGCTCGCCGTTCTGCCAATTCCTTTTTCAGCTTCTTTTTATTTCCTCTGCAAGGAGCTTGGCCGTATAAGTACTACTAGTTGGCTTAATACAATTTATTTGCCTAAATACCATTTGTTATAAATTGATTAGATATTTTTTTATTAGAATTTTGATTTTTTTTTTTTATACAAATAACAACTCAATAATATATCGAGTGAGATTCCATAAGTTGAATTTGAGAAGGGTGGGTATCCGTATATCTTACCTTTACTTTTATATAGATACAATACGGGGACTTTCCGGAGGTTATCGATCATGGTAGTACAATCGTCCAAACACACCTAGTTTTAAAGTTCTAATAGAATTTAGTGTGTTAATGTTGGTACAATCGCATCCTTCAAATAACCGTAGATAAAAATATTAATGATATGATTTGAGCACCATGAGGTCTCAGGTTCAATTCTCAACAGAGAAAAACTCTAGGTCATTTCTTGTCATCTGTTCTAGCCTTGGTAGACAGAGTTATTTGATACTTATTTCTAATGGGAGGTGGCAGGTATTCCTTGGAAACAAGATGCGTGCAAGCAAGCTGGATAGGACATCATTGTTATATAAAAAAAGGACGTAAAACATCATGCTTGTCCAATTGATGTTGATATGCATGATTAAAAGAGATTACATATTTTATGTCTATCTAATAGACGTTTGAGAACACACATGGAATTTTTTTTTCAAAAATTTGAATTGAAAGTATCACATAGAAACATTTTATCATGTTTTCAATTGAAACAAGATGTAGTTGTCGATTTATTAATAGTATACTTTAATTAGATAACCTAAGAAGACCACAAGGAGCACCAGTGGTCTAGTAGCAGAATAATACCCTGCCACGATACAGACCCAAGTTCGATTCCTGGCTGGTGCATTTGAGCCGTGAGGAGATATATGCGTCTTATGCGGTGATTTGGGTCTCCGCAATTGTCTGATTCTAAGACGATTCAATAGCGCATCTGAGCTCTCAAGTTTTTTTTTAATTTTTTTTATTAATTTTAAAAAAACTTACTAATACTTTTCTTTTTAATGTCTACTAGTAACTAAAAACTTATTAATGCACGTTTTAATCTTAAATTTAAATGAATTGAGTTTAGCATCTTCTAAAAGCAATATATTTACCCCTCGTAAAGGTAGAGATAAAGACGGCATACATCATATCCATTCTAGACTCGTTTGTGAGATTACACTGGTATGTTGTTGTTGAGTTCCAAATCTTTACATTATGAGTCCACTTCATACTGGTGGTGTTTGCACCGTTCAATGAATATATGACAAGTGTTTTTATATACCCTAACATCACATAATCATAATTAATTATTGCACATTTTTATCTTTGGTTTTTATATTGAACCATGCTAACATAGAAATAAAGATCTTCATGTATTCAAAATTCTGAAGAAAATATGTTTATATGTGCCACCATAATTGCCAGCTGATAGTATGTGTTCATTAGTCCTCGTTGAACCCAAAATTGAATGTAGAAATTCTCAATGAGAGAGACCAAAAAGGAATAAGGTTACAAGATATAACAAACCAAATTCAGGCAGTAATAAACTTCAAATTCTACCAGCTCTAGGCCGCAATTAGTCATAAGGATTCCTGAAATTCTTGAGAAGTTCAGGGATGTCATAACCAAGCATATCGTCAACATCTTGTATCATCTTTGGCTTCAACTTCTCGAATCTATCAAAGCTATAACCACCGAGAACTTCCCTGAAGTGTTCGACATTTGGAAAATCTCCAGCAGGCAGATGGAATTCCCTTTGAACCTGTTTGGATGAGTTGGGCATTAACACACAAGACTAGTGCTCAAATAATAGAAATTACTCCCTCCGTTTCAATTTGTTTGTCTGGTTTTTACTTGGCACGGAGTTTAAGAAAGTAAAGAATACTTTTGAATCTTGTGATCTTAAGCTAAAGATATGTAGAAGGCACCAAAATTTCTTCTAATCTTGTAGTCTTAAACATGTCAGGTGGAAAGTTGAAATTAAAGAGTTGCCAAAAAGAAAAAGATAAGGAAAGAGTCATTTTATTTTAAACGAACAAAAAAGAAAAGTAAGAAAAACAAATTAAAACAAAGGGAGTATATACATAGATGGAGCGGGCATGTACATGACAGTTTAGTGCATATGTAAGTGTGGTAATGAGAGAGTGATACCTTTCCAAATTCGTTTTCCAATTCATCGATGAGTCTCTGTTGAGTCTTGGCTTTGCCTATCATAGCAGGCATCTCTTTTCTGAGATGACTGATTATGTAAGCATGTATCTTGGCAGCTCTAGCACGTTTTACAAATTCATTGATCTGTACAAGATAAAACATGCTTCTCAATCCTTGTTTCAAAAGTATAGCTTGAGTAGAGTATACTAGCAATAAAAAATTCAAAGTTAAGATTGTGGATTTACACGACGATCACAAGCCTTCTTAGGTATGTTTTTCAAGTCTGTAAGGAGATCATCTTGCTCCTTTTCAAAAAGTTCTTTCCCAAGTGGCCCTGCTGCAGCTTCTCTCATTGGTTTGTCATTAAATGATCTATGCAAGCGAAACACCAGAGTTAAAGAAAAATGTAAAACTCTAAAAAGGAAAATGAAGTTTTAGGTATACGATATCTAAACTGAATCATCATCATAAGGACTTGAAAACATTATCTGAAATGAACATGCATATTAGATATTTACTTTCTAGTGACAATATTACATCTGACTTGAGCATTAGAGAGAGGAGCGATGGAATGGGGTGGGAAATTGTCTTAAACACAAGATAGCATCTAGTGATCAAATGTGACGTCCCATAAGGTGTATACTTTTGAGTCCTAAACATCCCAGTGGTTGATCTAGACTTGGTATCCATTACAATTTACAAAAAGTTTATCAACATTGAGAAAGAGTTCACCATGTTCTGAATCCATCAGGCACAAAGCTTTTCTCTTCCTCATACTATCGCTTAGGTGCAACCCAATTACATTTAGTTGGCTAAACCCATTTAAATCAAGTATTGGACTAACTGGAAAAATGTAAAGATCATACCCAATGTAGACGCGAGCGACCTCAGGAGTATTTAGAACTTTCCCCAAAGACCACATTAATGCTCCATAAACCCTCATAAGCTGCAATTGAAACCAACTGATGAATTTACCTTGTAGCATAGTCTAGAAAGAGGTGGAAAACGTAAATGATGGAAAGAAAATTGCGTTACTTGTTGAGTATCAACTTGGTCAGCTTTGTTCAGAACCACACGTATCTTATCATCATGGCCTCGAAGAGAAGCAATGACACGTTTGAATTCATCACTTATATCAAGCTTGTGAGGATCAAACAATAGAAGGATGAGATCGCACTTGGCAGCAAACCAGGAAGTCACACCAGTAAAGTCATAGCTCCTTTGTGTTCTCTGCTTTTCCCCAGATAAAACTCCAGGCGTGTCCACCAATGTAAAATGCTCCAACAACTTTTTTTAACATGAGAGAGGAAAAGTTCAGGGTAAAAAGGAGTTGAAAGTGTTCATAGTTTTGTTAAAGGCTTTTTTGATAAGTAAATTGATCAATAACTCACAGGATGCGCCATTTGAGAACACTCAAACTTTGACAAAAACGCAGTTCCAAAAGTTGTCAGACCGCTAAATGGCATATCTGCTTGAACAGCAATTGTGTTTCCTGGAATACTTCTTTCATCAGGCCCATTCTGTATAACAAACAGTCAAAAGTGAACACCAATCTAACAAAGGATTCAACATGCAGCAAGTTTTGAGAAAAGTATTAGCAAGCATGTATCGCATTGGTGAAACTATCGCGAAAAAAACATCAGAACAGTGAGCTCCTTAACATGGTAAATAGAAACATATATGGTAGACTGTAACAAAGAGAGAATAATATACCGTAGTGGTTAGTAAGAGTAAAGAAATGGAACATACCATGACAACTACAAATCTGTCTGTTGTAGGCTCTGGTCCAATGTGAGCACCTATAGACAGCCATACGGGATGCAAAAATGTAAACAAGAGCCTTTTGAATACATGAACAAGACACTTACACAAGAAAAAATGAGTTTTAGCTAACCTGGATAACTCATTTTGAGTAAATGTTTAATGAATGTTGTTTTGCCAGTGGAGTATTGACCCAAAAGCATCACCATCGGC